ACACACACACACACACACACACACAGACACACACACACACACACACACATACACACAATCAATCAATCAATCAACCAAACCAATCAAGATCCTATCGAAACGATAGGATCATGATTGCTTTGATTGATTGATTGATTGATTGATTCATTGATTCATTGATTGATTGATTGATTTGATTGATTTGATTGATTGATTGATTGATTGATCGACTGATTGACTCTCTCTCTTTCTCTCTCTCTCACACACACACATACACCAACACACACACACACAGACACACACACACACACACGCACAAGAGGACACACACACACCAACCCCGGCCTGGCCCCATTTTTCTTTATTTGTTTTCAATTTTTGCGTCTTAATTTTTTTTTCACACCCAATTTCCCGACACAATTTCTCACAAACCCTAAAAAGATTCAGGACAACTCACCGACCTTGTCCCTCAAGATAAAAAATGACAAAAAGAAATTCATGTTTTTCTTTTTAATTTTTTTCAATAATTTGTTTAAAAGGGTCCGGCACAGCCGGATTGACGAGGTTTACGACGTGGAGAAACAATCGACCTTTTGTGACAAGTTTCTCCAGTGGGCGTACGATGTCGGCGTTCCCTTCAACGCCTTTAGGCGACAATCTTGGAGGGAGGTTAGGAAGGCATCTGAAGAGATGCCTCGAGGTGACCGTGTGCGGATGCGATTTCCCTCCTTTAAGGAAATCGATGGTCCCGGGGTTCCTTCGCAGAGGATGAAGGTGGCGGCGTTGTTGAGGGAGGTTCGAGAGGCTTTCGCCCACAATGGCGTGACCATGCTATCGGACGGCAGGAAGTCTCACGATGCACGGCCGGTCGTGAACTTCCTTGCAGCTAGCGTCAATGGTGCACTGCTGTCCGCCGTCATATGTCGTGACGGTTTAATCCCTGAGACAAGGGCCATTGTGTATCGCAGGTGGCGGGCTATCATCACGTCCTTTCCCTCGAAGGATGTTATCGTATTTTGCACGGACTCTGCTAGAAAATATGTTGCAGCGTCCAAACTACTTGCACAAGACCCCGACCCGGGCGTAAGGCGCATCACGTGGCTCCCCTGCTCGACCAACGTATGCAACTTGATGTTGTCAGACATTGGGACACGAGTGGAGTGGGCGAGGGACACCATCATCCGTGCTCGTGCGTTGGTGCGATTCATAAAATCACACAGAGCAGCCCTCGCCCTCTTCAAGAGGAAGAGCCCTCGCGTCTCACTCATTCAGCCGGTAGAAACACGTTTCGCATCGTTTTTCTTTATGTTGACATGTTTGGCCGGGAGACGCGACGTGTTGGAGTCCATGTTCCACGACAACACGTGGGCTAGCATTCCGTGGGAGCGGAGGCTCCTTCCGCAGGCTCGGCGGGTGCGGCTTCTGATTTGCGATGGCCAGTTTTGGCGTTTAGTGGAGTTTGTCATCTTTTTGATGCAGCCTATCCATCATCTTCTCATGCTGATGGACAGAGGAGGGATGATGATGTCCATTGTCTACAAGTGGAGTCAGCATCTCGTTCGGCTGATAAGGCAGTCAATGGTCCCGACAGAGCTTCTGTCGCCGTGTGTGCAAAAGGTTGAGATGCGCCTGATGCATCTCTTGGAGTCCGCACACGCGGCAGCCCATCTCCTCAACCCCCACCGGCGGTCCATGAGGTACTACGAACCCCTGCACACAACACCGGAGGGCATGGAGGTTATTCGGAAGTACGATCGGTTTGTGCTCGCGCAGACTTGGGGGGATCCGGTAGGCAAAGATTACCTCGTCGTGCGATGCGTCGTTTCCACTCATGGAGAGGCGACTGGGGTGATCGCTTGTTGTCTGATGCAGAGGCCCGAATTTGCGTGGGGGACGACGAGACGGTGCATTGTGAGGCGTGCTGGTTCGCCCATGGGGGAGCCCACCCAGAGTTGCGTGCCATTACTATCCGTGTGATGCACATGTGGATGTCCGCCTCTCCTGAGGAGAGGAACTAGGCTGAGCATGAGCGCATTGACACGGCAAAGCGAAAAAAACTTGGCTTTGCGGAGGTGGCACAGTTGGTTGAGATTACGACTAATCTCAAACTGGCTTCGTGCACGCAGCCTTGTGGTGGGTATTTTATGTCGTGGATCATGGACGACAACGACGACCGTAGACCTTGTGGGGCTGCGGTGGAGGTGGGGGAGGACGACAATCCAGAGCCAGCGGTGTAGGGGCTAGACCGGCTGGGACCATCAACGATGAGGAGTTGAGGAGGCAGATTGTCGTGTTCACATGGGACGACGCAGCCTCTCCGCGAGAGGTGTCTATCGTTTTTGGGGAGCAGCCTCTCCGCGAGAGGTGTCTATCGTTTTTGGGGAGAGGGCGGCCACATTACTGCCTTACGATCATGTGCCTCCTCCGGCACTGGACGCTGGCGTTGAGGGTGCGCAGGCTGGGGAGGATGACTGGATGACCCCGGAGGACCTTGCGCCGCCCTAGGCCCAACACAGGGAGTTGAATACGAGCGGAGCCCTGCATGTCCCTCGACTCAGCCATCGAGTAGCACGGGCTCAAACCTTCCCTCGCACGCGAGGAAGGTTATAGGCGTCGACTCCAACGAGGACGAGTAAGAGACGGAGGAGGGTTTGAGGGACGCTCGGTTTGATCCTAGACACCACTCGTTCGACCATTCACATCTCCTACGTCGATCGGCGAGGTTGGTAGGACAGGGCGGTGCGGAGTCTCAGCACCTAGAGGACATCCCACTCGGGGAGCATACTCCGGTCACTCTGTCACACGGCCGTGATCGTCAGGACACCCACGGCACGCCTTCTTCGTTGGGGACCAGCAATTTCGACATCAGTGGCTCTCATGGTGAATCGCCTGTCTTGCGTTACAGAGGTGGGGGTGAGTCCACCCAAGGGACAGATGTTAGACAGAGA